AATAGAGAAAGCAAGATCTGCATTTCAATCAAATGTTATGATTTATCAATGCCCATAAAAATCAGGTTACTACGATGTTACATCTTTCCTATACTGTTGTACGGAGTTGAGTCATGGACTCTCACAGACGCCACCTGCAAGAAAATTGTGGCTTTTTAAATGTGGCTTTATCGTCGCATCCTGAAGATATCGTATACCGACCATGTTACTAATGAGGGTGTTCTGTTGAGAATAAAAAAAGAAAAAGAGCTGTTAACCACAATAAAAAACAGCCAAAATCGAATACCTCGGTCACATCATGAGGAACAGCGAAAGCTATGGACTGCTGCAACTAATCTTGCAGGGAATAGTAGAAGGAAAACGGGACCAGGAAGGCGAAGGATTTCCTGGCTGAAAAATCTACGAACGTGGTTCAACACCATAACCACAAATCTTTTTAGAGCAGCAGTGTGCAAAGTGCAGATTGCCATGATGGTCGCCAACATCCGAAACGGATAGGCACTACAAGAGGAAGAAGTATCAACTTGACGGTAAAAAATCTTATCTTTTGATCAGAGTGTCCTATCGACAAAAATCAAACTGCGATTTAAAAGTGAAGAGTGCAGCTTTCGTATGCAATTTTTGTATTTTGCCGCAACTGAACTCAGTTTTTATAAAGGTGTTAAATAAATGTGCTCGATTTTTGCCATTTTTGATTTCTCTTGAGGTCAATAAAATTTATTACTTTTATTGACCGGTCATAGTGCACTTTCCATTCTTGGACACTAGTCTTCAAAACCTATAACATGAAAATTCGATTTTGATTTTTGGCAACAAATAGGAGGCATTTGAAATATGACTGAAAACGCAGAATTTAAACTTTTACATTACAAATGCCTCCTGAAAGGTCACGGTTTTGGGTGTAATTTATAGCAGAAGTTAAGTATTCTCTGTTCACAAATTGTTGATAGCACGAAATATGCCTCAAAATCATCAAACGGTCGTAAAATTTGTATCATCATAGGCGTTCCTGAGGTGTTTATTCATTAAAATTAATATTAATATTAATAATGTTTTAATACTGATATATTTAGTAAAAAACAATTAAAACTTTCACGGCTAATGTTGGTTATTATATTATATTAATAAAAATAATAATTTAACCATTAACAATTTTGTAAATAAGAATACCTTTGGATATTTCAATACTAATCTTCGCGTTTAATCACTTTACTAGAAAACCTGGTATTTATATCCGAAGGTACTATCGGTTGCAAGATAATTAGGATGGAATTCCCCAGATTTTTAATAATATAATGGGTATAGATGCCGGATTTGGCCACGTACCTCGTCTGTTTAGTTTATATTCGAAACTTAACTTAAAAGGGTGAAGTTATTACGAACGAAAACAATTTGTTTGTTTAGTACGTTTTTGATCGCATGTAATTTACGGCTCGTCGGTGTTTCCGCTTCTACGGCAGTAATTAGCGTCTCGAATATTTCTTTTGCGAATTATATGCAGTGCGTGAGTGATTTTTTATTCCATATACCTACGAACATATACGTACCTTTCGCTCGTGCTCGTTTTGTTTGATTGTTTGTGATGGCTTCATCATCAACATCATCAAGTTTTACACCGGTACTGTTGCGTACAGTCAGTAAGTCTGTCTATTCACCAAGAGAGAAGACTATTGTCCTGAATGTTCACGATGCTCTGGTTTCTCAGAATCCCACAAACACTGTTCGCAACATAGTCGAAAGTTGTGCCAACACGGCTGGCGTAGGGGAGTCAACTATATATAGGTTCCTATCAGAAAGAAAAAAACACGGTATAGCCCAAACACAAAAGAACACTTAAAGAGAGGGAAAAAGCCTATTGAACTTGATGAATTTGCCAAAAATGGTATTCGAAGGAAAATTCATGGATTTTTTTTTCAAAAAAGAAATACCAAACCTAAATAAAATTTTACAAGAAGTTAGAGATGATCCGGATTTGCCTCATATCGCACGAACTAAATTGTGACAAATTTTAAAAGAATTAAATTTCCGGTGGGAGAAATCAGACCGAAAATCACTTTTGATTGACCGGGAGGAGATAATATGTTGGAGAAGAAATTATCTAAGATCCATACGAAAATTCCGGGCTGAAGGAAGGCCAATCTTCTACCAGGATGAATCGTGGGTAAACTCAGCTCATACTCTAAAAAAAGTTTGGTCAGATAAAAATATATTAAGCTCCAGGCAAGCCTTTATGGAAGGTTGGTCTACTGGTATCTCCCCACCTTCTGGTAAAGGCAGTAGATTAATAATTTCTCACATTGGCAGTGAAAAAGGATTTGTTAAGCATGGTTTGTTGGAATTTCAGTCCAAAAGCACAAAAGACTATCACGAGGAGATGACAGCTGATGTTTTCGAAGAGTATTTTGTGCAGATGATTGAACACATACCACCAAATTCAATTATAGTATTAGATAATGCACCTTATCATTCACGACTAGTAGAAAGACTTCCAACGACTGCGTGGAAAAAACAGGATATTCTTGACTGGCTGCGGAATAAGTACCTGCCTTAAGAAGATGGAATGGTAAAAGCAGAACTTTTTAAAATTGCCCGGCAACACAAATCTAAGTTCAAGAAATACGTAGTTGACAAAATGGCGGAAAGGAGAAACATCACAGTCCTTAGACTTCCACCCTACCACTGCGAAATAAATCCAATTGAACTCATTTGGGTACAAATGAAAAGTTATGTGGCTAGAAATAATACGTCATATAAAATACAGGCTGTACGTGAATTGTTATACGAGTCTTTACAATACATTACAGAACAAAACTGAAAAGATGCAGTAAGACATGTAATAGAAGAAGAACAAAAAATGTGGGATCTTGATAACATAATTGATGCGATCGTAGAGACACAACCGCTAATTATTAACCCCTTAAGACGACACGGATTCCGAAGTTGATCCTATTTATTTTGAATTTGAATAGTTTTCTAATCGTAATTATACAAGGTAAGTGATAGTAGTTGTAATCGTAAGGTATTAAAGGGGAAAGGCGCAAAACGTCGCCTGTCAAAATGTTCAATGTGTTTTAAATGTATCGATTTTTTTTCAAATCCTGAGAAAACTAAAAAGCCTTTTTGGAAAAATTTAAAGGCAGAATAAAATATTTATTAGAATAAATAAAAAGTTTCTTTTGCATGCAATATTTTCAATTAAAAATTATACTATATTCTCTCTTTTATTTTCACCCCTGTTGCATAACATAATAAAATAAACATTGTAGAAGTTTTCAGGAACTTTCTGTAATATACATCAGTATACACATATATAATACCCGCAGTAATAATGTAATCTTTCATTCTGCTTTTCAATTTTTCAAAAATATTTATTAGTTTTCTCCGAATTCGAAAATAATGGATACATTTAAAACACATTTGGTGCCTTTCCCCTTAATTAAATAAATGTATCTTTTACAAATGGCAAAAAACTTTATTTTTGAATAAAATATTTTATTTTATTATAAGTTTTATTAAAACAAAAATACAATTTAAAAAATATATTTATTTAGTTCAAATAAATGTTTCAATCATATACTCTACGACACTGGTCGGCCAAAATACGTTCCTAATCGGATTATAAGCTTGACCGCTCTATTGTATTCCGGCAGATACAAGGTGGGTTAGTCGAAAACATCTTAAATCGTCAGTTTCAGGTTGGTTTTTACTATTATATCGTATTACCTATCCTCTCTGTATTTCAGTTCTCTAATTAGGATTAAACTTGTAGTGAGCTATCAACAAATTGTGAACCGAGTATAGTTTTGAAAAACGTACTAGTGTAATTAAGAGCAGTTTTACACGTTTTATGCCGTTTGTAATGTAAAAATTTAAATTCAGCGTTTTTAAGCATATTTTAAATGCCTCACATTTGTTGCCACAACTCAAAACTAAAATTTCATGATATAGGTTTTAAAGATTAGCTTCTAGTTATGGAAACTCAATAGTGGCTGGTTGATCACATGACAATCATAAAAAATGGCAAAATCGCGCCACGTTTATTTATTTGACACCTTTATAAAAACTGAGTTCAGTTGCGGCAAAATATTTTGATATTTGTCAATAGGATATTCGGATCAAAAGATATTGATCTTTTACTGTAGATCTGATACAAATTTTATTGAGCATTATATCGCGAGCTTAACTGATATTTATAATCGTCAATCATTTCAATCGTTTTTTTTTTGAGAGAACGGTTCATTCTACACAAAAAATGCTAATAAACGTTTTTATATGTACATGTCATTTTGATTAATCGTTTTTTCTACTAGTTAACTAGATTTTGTTTTTTTATATCCCAACATATTTACGTATACTATCTTGTATACAGATAGTCAATGACCGTTTAGGTAAACGTTGTTACAAAGATATGCGAATTGGGCATCCTGAGTAGAGATATCGTCAAGATTGTTGGAATAGGGCAAGTACGAGGTGACTACTCGGCTCGAGTGTATACTCCATGTGTACTCTTGCGTACTTTTGTGTGAATTGCAGATGTAGATAGACGTTTCGATCAGCAAAAAATACGCCTTCAAAATTAGAATAATTTATAGAAAACCTTCACTTCAAGTAACGTGCCACATATGACTGAGGAATCTAGGTACTAAAGATCAAAGAGGACAAAGCATGACACAAAATGTATCAGTGATGGATAAATGGCAAGGGAAGATGACGGACGGAAGAGAGAGTGAAGGCTGATTGGCCCGTTATTTTAGCATTAAGCTTAAGAAGCTTATCATATATTTATCAGTTTTTGCATTATCACTTTAGTTCACTACCGCACCAGTACATAATTATCAAATTTTAGCATTAAACCAATTTCTTAATTTTATGAATTGACCTCTAAAACCTCGTAACATGTGTATATTTTTTGGTTGTTCACTCTATACTATACAAAAGCCTAACCCAGTAGTTGATGCAAATTTAGTTATCTAAAGAAAAAAACCTTGTTTTTGTTTCAGGACGATTACGACAGTGGAGGTGGCGGCCGAAGCCTTAACCTAAACTTCCCTTTGAGCAATCGTGTGATGTCCTCAAACGGAAGCGGACCAGATGGCTTCCAATTGCCAGTTCCGTTTCCTTTTCCTCATCCAGCTGCTGCTTTTTTACCGCCAATGGCACCTCAGGCCACAGCTCCGTCTTCTGGCAGTTCACATTCTTCAGAAGGAAGCGCTTCGTCCCAACACACCTGGTCTTTCGAGGAGCAATTCAAACAGGTGCGTCAGGTATGTTTCGCTTTAGATTCTATTACATAAATCGGTATGCATTGAAGTATATAATTGTAAAGGGTGTTTTTTAGAGGTATAGAAATGTAAATTGGTAACACTTTTTAACTGTTGGCCATTTTGACAGCTGTCAAGTGATTTATGTTAAGTTTGGTTTGGCATTTTATCATGAATAGACTGACGCCTGAACAACGTTTTTAAATTGTACAAATTTATTTTGAAAATTGTGGTTCTATTCGATATACGTATCGCACAATACGTTCATTTTATGGTCAACATAATAGTCCATCAGAGCAAGTAATTCGATTAATTATCTAACGTTTTTGCACCACGTTTATTCTAAATGATAATATGCATTCACAGACACATCGTGTAGTGCGTACAGAAAAAGTTGTTGCTGTTGTAGAGAGTAGCATACAGAAAGACCCGAATCTGTCTATCTGCCATCGTGCACAGCGGTTGGATACGCGTCCATCGACTTTATGGAAGATTCTGCGGAAAAATCTTGCTTTGCGTGCTTACAAAATCCAGCTCATGCAACAACTGAAGGTACATCATCACCTATAGTTTATTTTTATGAACGAGAGAGTAATTAGCATAATTTTAACTGGTACCTTCGACCACTCCATGGGCGTGCTCAAGATTAATTGAAAAATTACTTTGAATAATTGTAAAAAATAAATGAATTATTTCAGTGTTATAAAGTGTTATGTGTATGTAAACAAAAGTGACCTCTTTTATCACACACTATATTAGAACTGACTGGTCTACATTAAAAAGGGTTTTAAAAAATTCACATTTTTTTTAATTTTTAAAAATTACAAAAGAGAAAAAGAGTTTTTAAAACCGTCTAAGGTATGTTAAATAGATGAATAAAAATATTAATATAAAACTTACAGCTACTTGTTACAAATCCAAATCAGATTCAGAAGATGAACTTTCAGGACCAAGATTTATAATAACTGGCTCGATCATTTTATCAGTAATATTGTCCAGCTTCCACATTTTTTCCTCTTCTTTAATAGTGTGATTTACTGCCTTTTACCAGTTTTCAGGTTTTACATTATTTACGGCCTCCAAAAACAACTGTTTAACATCATGAATTTTAAAAGTGGTATTTTTTCTTGAAACTTCACTCTTTATCTGTGCCCATACCAGTTCAATCGGGTTTAATTCACAATGATATGGTGGGGATCTAAGTACTGTCATTCCACGATTTTTGGCAATTTTATCAATTTCGTATTTTTAAAATTTTTCTTTATGAAGGGCACACAACGAATAAAGTTCCTTTCTTATAGATCCGGGATGGTACATAATATTTTTTAAACTCAGCCAATTCTGCAAGTCTTTTTTTAACCACTTGGTTGTGGGCAGTCCTTCTATAAGTGTGGAGTGATAACTTGCATTATCCATTACTATTACACAGTTCTTAGGAAGAAGATCTATCATTTGTTCGAACCATTCTTGAAAGACATCAGCGTTCATGTCTTCATGGTAGTCACCGGTACGAGTTGATTCAAAAGTTAATAAACCACCTTCAACAAAACTGTCTGAACTGCCAATGTGTACTATTATCAGCCTGCGTCCCTTTCCTGATGGTGGGTTTAAACCAGTAGATAAGTTATTTACAAAAGCGTGCCTTTGACTTGTAACAGTTTCATCCTGCCAAAATTTATTTGGTGTATGACCCTCGTTGATCCATGTTTCATCAAGATAAAATATTTTTCTTTTTTGGTTTCTCATTTTCGTTATGGTTCTTAGAAAATGTCTTCTCCATATGACAATATCGCTTCTTTCTAATAAAATAGACTTTTTGGGATTCTTTTTCCAGCGGAAGCCTATTTCTTTTAAAAGTTTCCATAACGTACTTCGACTCATTTCTGGGTAATCCTTATCATCTCGAACTGAGACAAGAACTTTATCCAATGTTGGAAATTCTTGCCTAAAGAAGAATTCATGCACTTTCTGTCGAAGTCCTTCTTTAAAATGATATTCTATTTGAAATTTTGGTTTCCCTGGAGCATTACGTGGCATTTGAAAACTACCACATTTCTCTTCTTTAATAACTCTGTAAATCGTAGATTTCCCAACACCAAGTGTACTGCTAACTAACTCAACGGTCTAATCAACACTTTCACATAAACGTTTGTGTGTAAATGATTTAAAACAATTAAATATTAATGTTTTTTCATTAACTGTTAAAGGACCAATTTTTCGGCGTTTACACGGCACTTCCAAATTTTCCATAACACTAGTATACACAATAAACTGCACCTTGCAACTGAAGTACCTACTTTTAGTGAACTGTTAAGAATTTTGAATACGCCACTTGGACCTTCCTACAAAATGGAAAAACCCACTATCACATTTTCTGTGGAATAAGTTTAGAAGGTAATTATCTAGTCAATTACTGTCGTAGATTCCTGGAATTAAAGAATTAAATGTTTGATTGTTGAAACCCTTACTTCGTGGAATGCACTCATTTCAGATAAAATAAAACGTTTTATTTTATCTAAAGAATTAAACTTTATTTTGCAAAAAGGTAGGTACTTATTAAACTTTTATTGGTTATAGATAACCAATAAAATAAACATCTTACATTTCTTGCAAATTCATTAGTACCTGTTAACCTCCATCACTCCGACACTGGCAACCTTATTTAGGGATTAGTAACCCTCACAACTATTGTATTCTATTCTGCTCCAACCTTTATACCTGGTGGTCATACTCAATTTAAAATTGTTTTCCTATATACTTCTGTAAACTTGTTGACAAATATCTGTTTTTCATTGAGTCACCCGTATCAACAGTCTAGGGATTTGCATACATAATTTATTGTTTTATTACTCTCTCGTACATAAAAATACACTATAGCAAGGCGTACATTCGTTGATTCGGGGAGTGGGTCCAAAACGAGATTTCCTTTGATTTCAATTTTCATAAGCGATTTTTTTTTAATGAAGAAGCTTACTTTTGGTTGAATGGCTATATCAACAAATAAACTGGTCTATTTGGAGTTAAGATAATTCTCAAATGTATGATAAAAACCATTATATTAAGAAAAACTAACTGTTTAGTTGTTTTATGGTCCGGTTTAATCATTGGACCATATTTCTTCAAAAATCATACTGGCCAGACAGTTATAGTTAATGGTGACCGCTATAGAGGCATTACGACTACTTTTTTTATTCCTCCATTGAACAACCTTGATGTATAGGAGCTGTAGTTCTAATAAGACAGCGCAGGATGTCAAACAGCTCGTGCCACAATTGATTTATTGAAGGAAACGTTTGGTAACCGCATAGTTTCACGTTTCGGACCGTGAATTTTCCTCCAAGATTGTGCGATTTATCACTGCTAGACTATTTTATGTGGGGATATATAAAGGTGTTAGATTACGCCTATAAGCTTGAATTTGTTGACCAATTGAAGGACAAGTGATCAAAAATTGGACCTCTAGATTAGACTACGTTAAAGCCAGCCATGACGGTCATATACCAGATATCATATTTAAATTATAATGCCAATAGATTATCTTTTGAATAAAGTCAATTTCATATCAATTGATAAAAATGATCTTTGTTTTATTTCATTTCAAAGTTCTATACCTCTAAAAAAACACCCTTTATTATTTAAGCATGCCCTATGAGAAATTCCGTAGATCTCTCCATTAATTCAATGTTGTTCTGAAGCTATTTTCTTGTGGCATTGTAAATTAATTACTATTTATAACTGGGAATAAGCCACAATTAAAGATAAAAAATACGTTTATTGACGTTTCAATTTCCAATTCGGAAATCGTTCTCAAAATACAAACAGTAAATTTACTGTTTGTATTTTGAGAACGATTTCCGAATTGGAAATTGAAACGTCAATAAACGTATTTTTTATCTTTAATTGTGGCTTATTCCCAGTTATAAATAGTAATTAATTAATTCAATGATTGTGCTTTTTCTGATTATTGTACTCTTCTGCTTTTAGGTACATAATTTCTTTCAATACTCTCTCAATTTAATATTTTTATCCTATTTTCATTACTTATTATTATAAGGTTTTTTACTATATCTAATGTTATCTTCCCCTTATCTGTTCGATTTCCAGCTCATCAGTTGCTTTTAAATTATAAGTTAGGTTTTGTAAAGGACAGTAGTTTAGAGTACTATTAGCATACATTAAGTTTTCTTTTTGAAAAGTGTTTTGAAAGTACATTAATACCAAAACCGGTAGTAATAACGTACTGGATTTATACTGAAACAATAAAAATCAAATAGTAATTCTATTAAATTCTTGATCCAAGATTTTTTCATTGGGCCAGCAATGACAGAATAATTAACAACATTAATTAATAAAATTATAAAACCCAATAAAATACCGGACGAATAACGAGCGAAGTAATTCTACTTTTCAAAAAAGGAGATAAAAAACAGCCCGAAAACTACAGAGGCATAAACTTCTTAAATACTACGCTAAAACTTACAACTAAAATTTTGGAAATGCTAATTAATGAGTGGATAAGTTTAGCAAATGAACAATAGGGTTTTCGTAGTGGAAGATTGTGTACAGATGCAATATTCATTATAAAGCAAATTACTGAGAAATCACTAGAGTATAATAGACCAGCATTTCTGTTTCTGATTGACCTAAAGAAAGCGTTTGACAGAGTAAGACTCAAAGATGTAATTCATCTTCTGTATAATAGAGAAGTTCCCATAAAAACTATCGAAAACATCTACCAAAACAAGAAAATGGAAGTCAGAATAGGTGGACAAACTTACAGAACGTATATAAATAGGCAGTGGAATAAGACAAGGGGATTCATTAAGCCCCATGCTCTTCAATTTGATCATCAAAACCTTCACGAAAGGAAGAGGATACAGATTGGGAAAGAAAAAATACTCTGTTACGCAAAAGACGCAATATTGATAGCCCAATATGAAGATAGTCTGCAAAGACTGGTTCACAGACTTAACATAAGAGCAAAAGAATTTAATATGACAATT